AATCCCACATGATTGTCAAGAAGCTTTCCAATTGGGTATTTACAAAGAGGGTGAAGGACTCATCCACCCAGATAAGAACCTTGATCCATTCTTGGCATACTGTAGTATGAATAACATCATCCCTGAAAAAGGTAATCAAATCTAACAGACATGTATCTGAGTTGGTTCATGTGAAATGTGTTGAGTGCGTTTTCAATTTATCAATGTCTAGACCAAATGTACGGGATATGAATCCCAGTTCAGTGCGTATATGCGCAAGAACAGCAGACCAGGTTAATAGACAACTACTTTCATACAAAGGTAAGTAAAGGTAAAGCCGAGCAACACATAGAACTTTATTGTGATAGCTTATTTTATATCTAGCAGTCAAAATGTAGCCGTCAAAGTCAAGTTTACTACTTGCTGAAACTGCTAAACCTAATGATAGATAATTTTGCGCAGTCGAAACCCGGGATCTCCATCATTATGTGCTAAGAACGGAATGTAGAGTGTACCGACTTCGTCTCGCCTGCACATATACTAGGTTCGATCCAAAGGAAACGTAATTCACAAATAAACAACTTTATTTAACTGAGTTGCCTGCCCGACTTCCAACTTCCAACTCCTCATTCTAATTACATTTGCTCACAACTCTGTTTAAATATTTATGTACTATATGTTATCCACGTGTAGCTGCAGGACATTACTTACAAAGGATTACTTAGTTTCTAAGATCCGGCTCTCATGGGTCTTATATTTAAAAATATAACGTGTGCGTTGCCATTTGGTCGGATATACGATCATAATATACTTGTTGTTGGGGATGCATGGCTTAAAAATCACGTTTACGTGATTCTATAGCCGAATCCGTCGTTTTTGTGTGAGAAACGTCTCTTGCATAGGTACATCTAATTAGACAAAGCATTATGCAATATGGATACATCAGCATATGAAAAGCATATGAACAGCTAGTAGGTAGATAACAGCTGTGTACCAAGTAAACAACTGGGCAGACCATGCAAATTACATTTCCCATGACGCACTGGTGGTGCAATCCCTGGGATTGCGGAGCCGCGTTTTAAATATATGTAGTCGTCCAGTTTAGTGTGGGTATCCACGTCAATTTGTTTACATTTTTCTTCTTTTTCCTAGGGGTGACTATTATTCACACCGATTTAGAGACCCCAGTACCTATCCAGGATTCAATCACAGTCAACTACCTACAAGCGACCCACGAACAAGTCCGGGCCTTGGTAGAACGGTCAGAGAGTTGTTACCTTGCCGTGAAAGTAGAATGTCTTGCGGATGGCTCTGTAAGTATTACTTCCCTCATCCAAGATGAGACAAATAAACGCATATACAAACATTAACTAATATTCGGAAAATACTGGGATTTGGAGAGGGAGAAACGCTCCAACTGGGTGCTGTTTTTTTCAGAGAGAATTATGCGGTTTACATTTCCTTACTTAATCCATGTGTGTGCTAGCAGAGGCAAAAATCTATTCGCATGACTTTCTCGTTCTCGGAATCTAAGCAGCCATTTTGCGAGGAAATTTTGTTTTCAAATAATAATTTTGTTTTTACTGTTCTTTAGTTTGACAACTCATGGACTGACATGGATGGTAAAGTCTACCAGTATTGGGGTGGTGGTAGAGGAGACGAAGTGGAAAAAGAATGCGCATGTGGAAGACAAACAAAATGCGGTGGTACGGATGACTTGGAAACAAGACAATACAGGTTAGTGTTTTTTTGCTTTTGTTTCACTTTCGAAGCTGTCTTTTCTAAAATAGGATTTAAATGTTTTTAATTCTTCTACGCGATGGTGCTTTGTTGTAAAATTGAATAATCTACCAATACATCTGCTTATCAACTTGAAATATTTTGCTACAAATCTTTATTCTTACTCTCCAGAGAGTGTAATTGTGAACTCACGGATGGTACATGGAGGGCTGATGGTGGGCTTCTTCATCTAGAGCAACATCTACCGTTGACAACTGTGCAGTTTAGCGCAACAAGCCAGGGTACCGTCCGAGTTGGGCCTCTATTTTGTGCAAAGCCTCAAACCTACAGTAAGTTTTTTTATTGGAAGACACTTTTGAGACAGGAATTGTCTAAAACGTTTGCTTTATATGTGTTGTTTGTCATTTTTATTTTGGACTCTTTTACCTTTCACTTGAAGTGATTTTAAAATTTTCACAAAAATGTTACTAGTTTACATCTATCATTAATACGATAATGAGGATAACTTAAAATGAGTAGTTTTGAACATTTTTTATATCATTTTGTTGGATATTTCATCGTGCAAAACCGAAAGAGTTCGTAAAAACTTGAACTGGTAGCTTTTATCTGTTTTGGTGTATCTCTTGCGGAGTAAGCCAACTGCGGTTCCCGGGTGTAAACTAGACATATTGCGACCGTATTCCAGTATGCAAATCACAATCTGTGCTGATACATTTCGGCAGTCAGAATGATTTTAAGCATTTT